CGAGAAAGTCTTGACGATGGCTCGTATCTCGATGTCATCCCTCTGTGCCAACGACAGAACCGAGCAATATGTCCTGGAGCACCACAGCTGTAGCACCCAGCAGGTTGACGATATGCATTTTGGAAAGCATCGCGAGGGCGTGGTGACACAGGTGCGTATTTTTTTCGGGTTCTGATAGGCGGCGGCCAGTTGTCGAGGGTAACTGAAGTGGCACTGGTGCCTGGTGTCTTGGTAGTGACTGCACTGCGGCCTCGGTAGTGTGCCAGAAACGTAATCATACTCCTCGATGCCTGCTGCAGCAATGGAAACAGAATACTGTGGCTGGTCTGGGACCGGCAAGGGCGTAGCTTCGCAAAGCGTCGCGCGAGTGTGTCGACTGAGTTCTTCACGCTCGATCTCCCGCATTGTGGACGCAAGGTCAGAAGGCGCGTAGTTGTCAACACTCGCTGCCGTGGTCACATTAGGTAATAGACCACATTTAGGAGCAATGCGCCTCATCTTCAAGGTCTTAAAAGTGCGACAGTGCCGTATGACATCAGCTACTGTACCAATGTTGTCTTTTCCGATAAGAAAGCGCTAAACATCCTCTGTCATGCCCTTCAACAGGTGGCTGACTTCGTCCTCATCGGACATGCAAGAGTTAATGGTCTTACATAGTTTCAGGATCACCTCGATATACATCGTGCACGTTTCTCCTGGGACCTGGGTTCTTTGCAGCAGCGTTTGTTCGGCTTGCTTCCTCTTTGTCACGGTGTCCCCGAAACACTCCTTGATTTCGGGCACGAATTATTCCCACGTTGTGAGGGTGTCCTCGTGGTTCTCATACCATGTGAGCGCCGTGTCCCTCAAGAAGAACACCACGTCAGTCGACTGAGCTGCTGCGTCCCAAGAGTAGTAGTTGCTTACCCGCTTGTAATGTTTGAGCCACTCGTCCACGTCCTCGCCAGATTTCTCCCGAAACGACGGGGCTCTATCAGAGGCGGACGCTGCCAAGGACCAGCCGCGGCTGAGGTCGGTAGTAAAGGTGTCGCTGGAACTGGTGGTGCAGTGCCGTCAGCTGCGGGGTTCAGAGTTCCGTCTTCACCGTGAAACATCTCGACCACTACCGGTAACGGGGGTAGCCCAGCTATGCAGCGGCTTCGGCGTAGCTCAGGTTGTTGCAGAACCGTGTTGCTTGGTTAGGTATCCAGCACCTCCTCCATAAAACTGTTACGGTTAGATTAAGTTTAACTATGTTTATTTACAGGAGAGATCAGGTGATGATCGGCGATGATGGTGAACATAGGCCGAACGAAGTAACTTCCTCTTCCTCTACCTTTCTCCCAAAACATGGCCCGGTTCATACCGTATAAATATGTTGACTCATCTTCTATCTATTCATTCTGTCTGGGTACCACCCACAAAGGCTTGTTTTTACATAAAACGTCTGATTCACTGCCGATAACATCGCTTGAAGCGCCGATCATTCGTGTCCTCACAACAACACACATTTGGTCGGTCGGTCGGTCGGTCGGTCGGTCGGTCGGTCGGTCGGTCGGTCGGTCGGTCGGTCGGTCGGTCGGTCGGTCAGTCGGTCAATCGGCCGGCCGGCTGGCTGGCTGGCTGGCTGGCTGGCTGGCTGGCTGGCTGGCTGGCTGGCTGCCTGCCTGGCTGGCTGGCTGGCCAGTCGGTCGGTTGGCTGGCTGGCTGGCTGGCTGGCTGGCTGGCTGGCTGGCTGGCTGGCTTGCTGCCTGGCTGGCCGGCCGGTTGGTCGGTCGGTTGCTTGCTTGCTTTGGCAGAAACAAAAGTATGGCCTCAACTTTCCCTCCTCGGAAATATAGAGAAGAAAAAGGAAAAGAAGATAGCGCAGCTTGCGCAAAGTTGTGCAAGGCGGCGGGCAATTTTTGGGTCCTGGCTTGGCACTACTTACACCCTCTAACCTTCCACTTGCCCCCCGCGCTTGTTCTCCTTCATTGCTTCTCTATCTTGTGTATGTTTTTAAGGACAATGGTCTTTCTTGGGGACCTTCGGCACAAAAATTTTGGTCTGTTTGTCTGTCTGTTTGTCTGTCTGCCTGTCTGCATATTTGCTTTTTGTCTACTCTTAATAGCACTGGGTACTTGAAACGGCCCACCCTATCCGCAGCGCCCACTTAAGTTGCTCAAGATTTAGCGTTCATACTTGTGCAATTGTCAATTAAAAATCAATTATTGCGCATGTCTTGGGCACCATAACAACACGTATATATTCTGCATGGGCGTATTTTACTGGAAAAGACATAGTTAAGTAATATTAACGACTGTAGCGCTTATCACGCTGCGCTGACCATGCAACGCTTGCACGAAAAGGCGAGTGTTTCCAACACTTTGCTAAGACTGTAAGGGATGGGCGGAGGAAGGTCGCTGGAGGAAGTTGCTGATGGCATCCCACCACTGCCACCAGTTGTAAGGGTCAGAAGGAAGGTCGCTGGAGGATACGAAAAACAAAACAGGTTTATGGCACTATTTACACATATTTACAGAAAAGAAAGGTTAGAGGTTTCACAACCCACGAGCGTGGTGGTTGAACATTACATAGTTCAGTGCCGCTCTCCTGTCAGCTCTGGCGCCGGTCGCAAAAGCTTCCCCGTCGCCAGATGAATCACCGAGGGCATCAGTCACCGCTTCTGCTCGAAGAGACGACAAAAGGGTCCGCAGTTGAAAGTCAGGAACTCGCCTTCGCTTGTCACAAGGTCTGGGTAATTACTCAAATCTTCGACAGCGTCTGGCAGACTGGGTGCCGAAGGGATTGAAAGCCTCTCCAGTGGACCGGCTTACGTACAATGGTGTCTGCCCAGACGAATTTCCAGGCCAAACTTAACAAGACGAGACCTACCCGTCGCCCTGCGTTCTACACCTTATCACCTCTGAGACGGCCGCGTACAACCCTCTTAGAGCCACGTGCTTTGTTTTCCAAGAAAACTGCCAGATGTCGCCCATATCTACCGTGTTACGTGCCTTGATGTGCTCGTTGGCCCCCGCTGCGCGCTCGTGGCACTCCAACGCAGCGCCTCCAGAATACCATTCACCAATTTTCTTGCACAGAACATCAAACAAGTGTTTCGTTCACTCTCTCTACACGCAAAGTTATCATCTTTCGAAGAAATTTCAAAGTCGGTGCCACTTACCACTCCCACATACCCTAACTCTATCTAGAAGTTTCACGCACGAATATTGCTCTCACTTTTCTTTCGCTATTATTTGAACCGAGCACGCAAGTAACAGGAGACCTCGTACGTGCGTCTTAGCTGGAAACATGGCCGGAAGAATTGGATTCACAATACTTACGACGATTATGTGTCGCTCGAATATCTCTCATTCATCCGGTATCTCAGAATTAAAAAAAAAACTCGAATTGCGCGATATACAGGGCAGGTTCACTACGTTCCCCGCCGCGGTGGTCTAGTGGCTATGGTACTCGGCTGCTGACCCGCAGGTCGCGGGTTCAAATCCCGGCAGCGGCGGCTGCATTTCCGATGGAGGCGGAAATGTTGTAGATCCGTGTGCTCAGATTTGGGTGCACGTTAAAGAACCCCAGGTGGTCGAAATTTCCGGATCTTTCCACTACGGCGTCTCTCATAATCATATGGTGGTTTTGGGAGGTCAAAACCCACAAATCAATCAATATTTCTCGTTTCACCAAAATATAAAAATCAAGGGTAGAGTAAATGCTTCTGAAAGGCGAAAATAAAGTTTAAGGCTGATCTTGACAATAGTAGTAAAACCAGGAATCATCAACTGAAACGTGCTCGATGTGCCTGCCTTAGTGTTATCAGACTGTGACTCATCCTCAAGCATGATGCGAATTCTGTTCTCAATTTATTTTTATTTTAAAAATTTTGCCCTGCCGCGGTGGTCTAGTGGCTAAGGTACTCGGCTGTTGACCCGCAGGTCGCGGGATCAAATCTCGACTGCGGCGGCTGCATTTCCGATGCAGGCGGAAATTTGGTAGGCCCATGTGCTCAGATTTGGGTGCATGTTAATAAACCCCAAGTGGTCGAAATTTCTGGAGCTCTCCACTACGGTGTCTCTCATAATCATATGGTGGTTTTGGGACGTTAAACTTCACGTATAAAAAATAAAATATATATATTTGCAAAATTTTAAATAATTTTATTTTGTGTGCTTGCCTATGTGGCACTAACAGCATCCGGCTCTATGCCATCATTTTGAGACGGGAAATGCATCTCGCAAAATTGACCTAGATTTACTATTCCTGCTTTTTATGAACGCTGACCCTCGGCACAGAGGTGCTTTCGCCGTTATCCAGGGAATAACTATTCACTCACAGTCATAGACCAGCTAAATGGGCTTCAGTTATTGTGAATATTCTTAGAATAAATTTTAGTCAAGACATCAATTTTCTCATTTGCCAAATTACACTTATAATATATCGGGAACGTCGAAGAGAAATTTAACATGTATGCATGCAGTCTGCCGCGGTGTTGTAGCGGTTGTGGTGCGTGGCTGCTGGCCCAAGGGTGACGGGTTCCGTTCCAGCCACGGTGGTCGATTTTCGATAAAAGCGATGTGCTAGAAGCCCGTGTACTGTATACGATGTCAGTAGACGTTAAAAAACGGCAGATGGCCAAAACTTCCGCAGTCACCTCATAATCATATCGTGGTTTTGGCACGTAAAGTCCCAGATATTAATGTTAACATGTACATATACGTTCAGCTTATTCCGCCCTAGATTTGGCCAATCTCTTATAGTGGGTAGGAGCCATATGCGCGAGCGGAACGAACAAACACGTTTACGCGGTGCCATCGTGCAGCGGCGAAGCGTGCCCGCCAGGCCGCTATGATAGCTCAGTGGTTAGAGCATCGAAAGCGTGCCCGCATAGCGGCCGCCGCTGCAATGCTCCAATCGCACATGTCATCGTCGTATCCTCGGCAATCCTAGGAATCACCAGCGAGAGCCACCACGGGATTACTGCGCTTCAGATAACTCTTGGATCGGGTATCGCGGTGAAAGCGGCAGCGCTTATCGGTTCGTGCACAGGCGGGGAACTGCCTCTGACGCGGCCGGAGTCTTGTTCTTTTCATCCAAGCGGACCGTAGCGAGGGAGGAAAACGGCACCCGCGACGACTAGCTAGGGATCCAGCAGTGGTGCCTCGGAGCCACTCGGTTGAGACAACCACGATGAATCCGGCGCTACCACTGCTACTATCTGTGATGTTGTCGAACAACGGCAGTGCAACCGAAAGGTATCTGATTAATTACTTTACTGTATACCACGCACTACCCCGCTTCACAACGAACGCAGCTCCAAGAAGAACACAACTAGTAATGTTCTTGATTGACCGACGCTGTGTGAAAATTCTGTAATCCAAATCTTACGCAATACCTTATAGAGGTGTACTCAGGAAATAAAGTGTTCTGTGATGCACAAGACTGGCGAGACGACGCGACTTCATTAGCATGTGTTCCATATTCACCGCTACTTCCGTCGCTTTTTATATACGTATAATATTCGAACCAATTCGTGTGGTTTATAGCTGGCGTGCCTCGCATAGCGCCACCTTAGAGTGCGAGGCTTTCTGTCTGACAGCTGCGACCTGCCCTCGACGCTCGCCAAGGAGATCGACAGTTACGGACCCGTGGTACGGCGCATCCTGTCGGCCTTCGACTATGGGCCCCAGTCCGGCACCACGTACCACGCTCTGGCCGAGTTCGCCGACCACTTCGGCCACCGCCAGGTGGGCTCCGAGAACCTCGAGGCTGCAATCGACGCGCTCGTGGCGGCGTTGCGGGTCGCCGGCGTAGACCGCGTCGAAACGGAGCCCGTGGAGACGCCGGTGTGGCAACGCGGTCGCGAGCTGGCAGTGCTCGTCGCGCCCCGGCACGTGCCGCTCGATGTGCTCGGCCTGGGCGGCTCGGTAGCCACGCCACCGGGGGGCATAACGGCTCCTGTGCTCGTGGTACATTCCTTCGAGGAGCTCGAGAGTCGCAGCGCCGAGGTAAGAGCCCTACTTCTGTGGAACCTTTTGGACAGTCCCGCCGCCGTGGTCAAGTGGCTATGGCACTCGGCTGCAGACCCGCAGGTCACGGGATCGAATCTCGGCTGCGGCGGCTGCATTTCGATGGAGGCGAAAATTCTGTATAGGCCCATGTACTCAGATTTGGGTGCATGTTAAAGAACACCAGGTGGTCTAAATTTTCGGATCTCTCCACTACGGCGTCTCTCATAATCACATGGTGGTTTTGGGATGTTAAACCACACACATCAATCAACCTCTTTTACAGCCCCAAGACGGGCCAAGCATGTAACAGAGTTATATAAGCCCCAAGACGTCGGAGCATGTCACAGTGTTATATATCCCGTAGAATCAATCAGCAATCATCGGACGGATTTCCAGAGACACGGTTCAAGATTTTCAAGGGCACGCAATTTTTTTCGGCCGCACATGCACGTTGTCAGTTGTACACAGATATACACGCAGCTGAAGCACAACTTTCATTTCAGCTGTTGTGGTCGTAAAATATTATAGCAATAGTATGTAGTAGTAATAGTAGTACAAACAGACTGCGTCGCTCAAGGAGCCCCATTTTTTCGGCAATATTACCGCTATTCTACTAACACTTAGTCAAAGCATGACATTCGGCAGGAAATGTGTTTTGTTTGTTGCAACTTACGGATGGGTGCCAGTGTCGTGTCTTTGGTTGGAATATGAATGGGCCGTTACAGCATCTTGTGCAACCGAATAAACGTCAGCTGCGACTGCTTCAATTGGAAAAAGTGCGTTTCTCTGAGTTACAATGTCGCATAGTTGATGATTGATATGTGGGGTTGTACGTCCCAAAACCACCATATGATTATGAGAGATGCCGTAGTGGAGGTCTCCGAAGATTTTGATCACCTAGGTTTCTTTAACGTGCACCCAAGTCTCAGCACCAGGGCCTACAGCATTTTCGCCTCTATCGAAAATGCGGCCACCGCAGCCGGAATTCCATCCGACGACCTGCGGGTCAGCATCCGAGCACCTTAGCCTCTAGACAACCGCGGTGGGGCAAGAGCAGATATGTTACGTGCTTCTTTAATAGGCCCCTTCATCTTGCACCTATTCTTGTTAGATATAATTGTTTTATTAAACTTTTGTTTGCGCCTGAAGCTCAAATAGGTGAAATATTGTTTGAAATGTGACGCAGCAGTTAACGTGACCTTTATTAAGCACCGAAGAGACAGCGAAGCAAAGATCACAGTCCAGCCGAGTTCCCAGAACCGAATGTGAGAAAAAAAGTTACACTATCTCCCGCTAAAGGAAACCATGTGTGGATGCGAAGCAGCGGGCGCTAAATCTTACACTTGCGGTGGCGTTGACGATGACGCTCATCGCTGCGTTGCGCCGGAGAGGAACCTTGGGAGGTGCAAAGCGCGCAGTGATGGACCGGTGTTTCCTACTAGAACATGCCAGTCGCTGCTAATGGGCAATGACAGACAGACGACTCTGATTAGATAAAGAGACCTGCAGTTCTCTTTTACTTAACGCGCACGCAGCGCATTTTGATTGTTCAAAAACGCACAGGCGAAATCTCCCACCGTCACTACCTTGGAGGTCAAGATCCAGTGTCTATATATACGGGGTGGCCAGTGACCGGTTGTGCAGCGCGAGCAGTCGGTTTTTTTTTTTCGGTTGGTTAGTGGTTCGTGAGGAAAGGAAGAAGGCACCTAATTTCTGTCAGCCTACAGGCGACACGGCGCAAGAAACTCGCTCGCAGACGCTGCCTGATCGAGGTTGTGAGGTGAAAAAGGGTGATCAAAGGAGAGAAGGAAGGGGATGAGACGCGCATGCGCAAAGGGAGTGTAAACGGCGCTGGAAGGGATGTCTAGAGGAAAAAGAGGGAGGCGTAGCAGGCGTAGCTCTTGCAGACGCTGCCTGCGTCGGCGTTCTATGGTGAGAGAAGGGGGGGGGGGAGAGAAGGGGAGGGTCGCGCATGCGCTGCAAAACTGGTCACGCCACACACCGGATTGAGCTCGACCATAAGACGCTTCCCATCTCTAACACGCTTGATGATAAACATATTTGAAGAACAAGGATGTGTCTAATGAAAGCCCCAGTATACAATTTTAGAGCATCATCAAGAATATAGTCAGACAAGTAGTAGCTATTTGTCGATGGCAAAATGAGGTGATTACTGGAACAAAATGACTAGATTTTTCTGAAGTCTGCAATATTTTTTTACTTATCGTTAAGGGAGACCGATGAAAGTTTTCGGTCTACCTCGGCTTCATATGCCTCGTGTGCTCTTTCCCTTGAAAAGAAAACTTCACAACGTTTTGTTCATATGCCACCTGTGTGGCATTGACCAATCGCTTACGCTAATATCTCTTATCACGATTTCTAGGTGTTTAGTGTTAGTACGAATCATATGGAAGTACGAACTTCGTCGTAAATATGAGCTTCACCGCTGGCTCACGACTCGCTATACGTGCGAATTACATCGTGAATGCAAACTGAAGGTGTCAACTTGGAATATCTTTCGTTCATAAAAAAGATATTTTCTCTAGCACTCTTCGTTACTACCTTCGCTATTTACTTGCTCCAGTACATCTTTCTTCATAGAGATCAGCACGTATACTCGCACAGAAGCACACACGCTATAACGCTCTGATAGAGGGAACGTCAGGCAATCGGGACCACCTTATGCCCTATTAGCAAATGTGGTTTCGAAAGTAAAATAAAAATGTTAATTCTGAAGTTCTTCGTACATTGGGCACCCAACGTTCATAATAACGCTAATTACAAGAGCTCCTAGCTTGCAACGCCTGTAGCAAACTCTCTTTCAGGCAGACGCGTAGCCAGAAATTTTTTTCGGGGGGGGGGGGGGGGCACCACCTTGATTTCGGGAGGGGCATCCTCTTCAAATGGCCATTTTTTGCTCTCTGTGCCATGGCGAAAAAAATTTCGGGGAGTGGGGTGGGCACGTGTTCGATGTATCACCCCCGGCTACGCCCCTGCCCCAAGAATGCGTGTTTGAAAATCAACACGCATGGGGCGTTGACCGAAAGGCACAATTTAGCAGTCTTCCGTCAATTTTCGAAATGCTGCAGGTGAACGGCACCATCGTGTTGTACACTCCAGAGTGGACCAGCTACCTATCGTACGTGCCGTACCGCACCAAGGGACCCTCGTACGCAGCCAGGTACGCCAACAATCATTCTAGCACACGTATTCTAATTTATTTCGATAGGTACACATATTCACAAATACATTCCGACTCGTATAAGGCTTGTGTGACGTGCTACTTGGGAAGTCTCAGCTCAGAGGCACACATTCTGTGTTATACAACTGCTTTGTTTTTTTTGACACTATGGATTTTTAAAATAAAAGTTTTATGGATAGTAAGCTTGTAAAGTTACTGTTGTTTTCGCACACGTTCTTCAGGTTAAGGCAAAAGTAGTTCGTCACAGTTAAATGGACGCTGCTGCGAACTATCAACAAAAACTCATGAATAACTTTTTAAAGAATGACCTGAGGGCAGGTACTTAATTATATTGAAAATTTGTAGTGCATGCCAGTTTATGGCAAATTCGTTTTTGAATCGCAAACATTGCACGTAATTACATGCTTTCGGTCGAATTGTATCGTCGATACCGGAATTGACCGCACCCGGCGCGCAAAAAGGCGACCACTCGTGTAAAGTCAGAAAACTGCACGTGACAAGAAAATGTTTGAATGAATGCGCGTCCCGGTCGCATATTTCCGTGACAAGCAGCAAGTCATCTCACTTGCGCCAGCGGTTCGCCTTATTTTTTCATGAGGTGTTTAGTGCATATGTTTCTTTTGCGCCGAGCGCGAGACAACCGCGGTTTCAACTTTTCCTTTCGATGTGAAGCATAAAACTCTCGGGCAGCCACTGCGGTGCTTAATTCCTGCAGATAAGCGACATGTTTTTCAGCACTCCTTTATACTATAATTTAAGAAAGAAACAGATAACGACAACAAATCGCACGCAAACAGTACGATAGGGAGATTTAGAATAGCGCACCGCGAGCCCTTGTGGTGCACTCGCTGCCACTGCGCATGCGTCGTAACGCGAGTCGGCGTTCGCGTTCGCGGACCGCACGCAAACAATCCGAAATTGCGTGCGGTCATGGCAGCCCACATGTGGCCCGCAAGCGCTGGTATCGAGGCTACGGGCGGTGATGGCGGCTCGCATGTGGCCCGCAAGCGCTGGTTTCGAGGCTACGGTGTCGCTGCGATCGTGCGTTGCGGTTCGCAGCAGGGCAAACGCTATTCTAAAACTCACATGGTGCCCGCTGTGTCCGCAACGCCCGCAGCGCTTGCAAACGGTATTCTAAAACTCCCTGATGTCTTTGGCATTCAGAATGATTGCAGATTTTTTTTGAAGAGAATCTGTTCGGAGTGTCGAGGGAAGTTTGGTCTGACGTAACAGAGCAGTTCGGCTTCCTGCGTGCCGGGCGCGGTCACTTTCGGTATCAATTTTTAAATTCGATGAGGAGCATAACTAGGAGGTTTACCGTTGGTGGCTACTTTGCACCAAGTTGGTTACCTTACGACCATGCATGTCTAGCGACAAAATTTCAGGTCGGCTTCATGGCGATGTTCTGACTATACTCTGAGCTTCTATTTTGGCGCATTTACGAACCATTTTCTTATTATTTACACATACGGTTTGCAAGCAAACCTAAAGAATAAACATCACTTACAAGATTGTTGTTGTTGTTGTTGTTGTTGTTGTTGTTGTTGTTGTTGTTGTTGTTGTTGTTGTTGTTGTTCTGGCCTATACGCTCATTCCCTCCCAACGCCGGTGAGCTAAGAGAGTTTCGGGACATTCAGCGCGCGGCGCGACTGCGCACGCCGAGTGAAGCGCATGTAAGAATACGCGTGGAGATATGACGCTGATGGCTTCAGATTCTAATGCTGCAGCACTGCATTAGAAAGAGATCTGCAACACATTGAAGCTGTATTGTGCATTGTATTCATTAATGTTTCGCTACTTGAAGCTGGACTGTTCTTAGGTAACTCTACACTAATTACGGTTTCTAAGGATAAACAGCGTCAACGTTTATTGTTCCTACACAGTATTTGGATAAAATTGCTGTGGCAAGAACTCTTGTGGACAAACTGCATGCAGGCTCACTAAAATTATAGTTTATTAATTTATTGGTAACTTACCTGCGGCTCATAGAGCAAGATGAAAACGTATTGCGCACGTTATTCTCCGCTCTCGCTAATCCAAAATCACGTTATTTATCATTGAATAATAACTATGTTCTGAAGTTCTCCTTTTTTTCATCTGGCTAGCATAAACCTGGCTCTAAAGTTGAATCACATGACAAAATTGGCTACTTTTAGCTTTAGTTTTGGCTCAGGCTTTCAAATCTACCCAACGGTAACATTGATCTCAAATAACGTGCAACTTTGACGATTTCTAAAAAAAATGAGTATGCCATAAATTGGCACGCACTGCGATCCTTCGATATAAGCAACTGCCTTTAAGTCACTAAAAAGCAATTAACAAGTGTTTGTTAATTAGTGAAGTCAGTGTTATTTTCGCTGCTGAACGGTATCTCTGCGTCGACATGGAGTTCATTTGTTGAAAAAACAGCCTTAATTTCATTGAAAAAAAAAAAAGAATCTATTTTACAAACAAGAGCACCCGGTATACGGAATATCACATTTCTTTGAGAATGCCCAGAAGAACAGCAAGCGCCTCTAATTTATTAAGGTTGATTCGTGTAGTTGGTTTCTAGTGCAATTAAAAAATGAATCTATTTTATAAACAAAAGCACCTGGTATATAGAATATCACATTTCTTTGAGAATGCACACAAGAACAGCAAAAGGCTCTAGTTTAATAATGTTGATTCGTGCAGTTGGTTCATGCGAATAACTGTATGTAGTTGAATGAAGACCAAAAAAAAAAAACACGAGAAAGATAAATGTACACTGTCGGACATGCTCGGAAGTTCTCGTTGTTGTTCAAGAATTCCCGTATACCACATGTTCCATAAAACAGGTCAGAAATTTGACAAAATATGGGCACAGTGTAAGTAGGTTGTTTTCTCTGTATTTGTTTTTCACCGATTTGATTGATTGATATGTAGATTTAACGTTCCCAAACCACCATATGATTACGAGAGACGCCGTAGTGGAGGGCTCCGCAAATTTCGACCACCTGGGTTGAAATTTGCGGATTTGGATTTGAGATTCAGAAATTGGAAGTAATCTCTTCGAATTATTGGAGCTCTGTAACCTGCATTGATACATATATTAATGTTAGCATTTACCTGCTTATAAAATCAGGTGGCAAATAGCTTTTCTTTTATTTTTAAAGGATGGTGGCTTCAGTATATGTTTTGATGTCCTCAAAATAAGTGATCGGGCCCATAGTCGCAAAAAACGTTTTAGGTTTCATTTCGTAAAGGAATAGTTCAGCCAATACTGATACGGGACATATCATTAGTGGGGCTGCCTGACCGATGAAAAACGGACTTTTGAAATCAATGTTTTATGCATTCGGCCTCGGATGAAAAAGCACAGCTGCATAAGCTAATTTTGTTCAATAATACTGGGAAAGTTTTCTATAACTAAACTAAAACAAACACTTTATCAGAACGTTCAAAAGCGCGAGTTTTCGGTACAAAGTATAGCAGTAATGAGGGCCATCTTCACGGTCTGATACGTTCTGAAAAATACCACACTGAAAATTGTTTCCGCGTAGCTGCTGGCTAAGCATAACAAATTCTAATACAGCCGCTACTTGGTTTAGGAAGTACTCGTTTTAGCTCTATGAAAAGAGAAGTTTAATATTTCTTTGTTGTATGGTCAGCCTCGGTGGAACTTTGGATACGGTGCTCAGCTGCTGACCCGAAGGTCAAGGGTTCGATGCCGGTCCCGGTGGTCGCATTTTGATGGAGGCGAAATGGTAGGCCCGTGTAGCCCCGTGTAGTGTGTGATGTCAGTGCACGCTAAGGAACACCATATGGTCGAAATTTCCGGAGCCCTCTACTCTGGTGTCTTTGATAATCATATGGTGGTTTTGGAACATAAAATCTGAATTTTATTATTCTGCTTGACTGCATAATTACGAGTCAGGCAGAACAATGTAGAAATGAGCGAGATTCCTATCAAGAATCCTGATATGATACAAAAGCCATATATCCAATTATCTCCTTTGAACGTATATGAATCATGTGTGTTCACGCGTGATTATACGAGATTAGTGAACACGTGTGTCACATGTGTCATATGAGATTTTTAGGTAGGAATCGTATTTCGAGGAAGGTTAAAATTGCTCATGCACATAAAACTGTCACCACAGAACTTTTTTTCTGTATAGATAAGATGAGGAGGCTGGCTTGAAGGCAACAGAGAAGATGGCAGAAAATGTCAGCTATACGATAGAAATATTTTTGTGCAATCCTTACGGCAGACTGTCTGATGCTGTCAGACAGTCAGTGTAGTTTTTATAATATAAATTCAGGGATAACACCCCATTGGTGTTTTCTATTTTTTTTTGACAGACTTTGATCCGGGAGCTCTTCAAACGCATTACTTTCGTTCATTTTTGTTTTTGTTTTTTGTCACACGTACCGATGATTTTTGGAGAATCAGATGCGATTAAAGCCGCTCAATCTCAAAACTTTCTCAAATGCTCTCTAAAGATTACGTTCGGTATACTTCAGAATCAGTGTCGCCTCAGCGAGTCTTCGTCCTAGAGGAGCTTTGGAACTAGATAAGTGTGACTACGCACTTAAATGAGAGATTAAATCCCTGTTGTGACGCACGTTGTCCACAAAGACGTTGTCACACATGAAGTGGACTATGAAACAATTGCCACAGGATTCAGCGGTTTCAATAATGGATTGTATCAAGTATGCAAAACTCTTTGAGGATATTCTGACTGAAAAAATGCTGCAATATGCATAATGAAATATTGGGAGCGCGAACTAACGGGACACAAGAGAGGAACAGACGTGCCTGCGCACGTTTGCCTCCTTTCTTGCATCCCGTTAATTTGTGCTCTCAATATTTCATTATAAATATATACAAACTTGATTGATGTTTTGTCGCTTTCTCTATAGAGCACTATGGTGGCAGTTGAACATCTGTAAATTTATTCCAGGATGTTTATATATGCTTCATCGACACCCTGATTCCAATCAAGAAAGACGTAAAGCGTGGGGATACAATCTCTCCAATGCTATTTACCGCATGCTTACAGGACGTTTTCAGAGGCCTAGAATGGGAAGGGTTAGGAATAAGAGTTAATAGAGAGTTCCTTAGTAACCTGCGCTTCGCCAATTACTTTGCATTGCTGAGTAACTGATGGGACGAATCGCAACTCATGATTACGGAGTTAGACAAGCAGAGCAGAGAGGTAGGTCTTAAAATTAATCTGCATAAAACGAAAGTAATGTACAAAAACCGTGGAAGAGAGCAGCGCTCCGAGATAGGTAATAGCCCACTTCAAGTTGTAAAAGACTGTCTACTTAGGGCAGGTAATAACCGCGGAGCCGAACCACGAGATTGAAGTAACTAGAAGAATAACAATGGCATGGAACACATTTGGCAAGCACTCTCAAATAATGACAGGTAGATTGCCCCTATCCCTCAAGAGCAAGGTATATAACAGCTGCATCTTGCCGGTATATATACTCAGCTATGGAACAGAAACCTGAAGACTTACAAAGAGGGTTCAGCTTAAATTGAGGACGACGCAGCGAGCAATAGTCGGGAAAATGGTAGGTGCAACCTTAAGAGACAAGAAGAAAGCAGAGTAGATCAGGGAACCAACCGGGGTTAAGGTTATCATAGTTGAAATCAAGAAGAGGAAATGGACATTGGCTGGGCATATAGCGCGTAGACAGGATAACCACTGGTCATCAAGGGTAACTAACGGAATTCCCAGAGAAGGCAAGCGGGTTAGAAGGAGACAGAAAGTTAGGTGGGCAGAGAAGATTAAGAAGTTTGCAGGTGTAAAAAGTGGCAGCAGCAATCACAGGACCGAGTTGACTGGCGGAACGTGGGCGAGGCCTTTGTCGTGAAGCCCATCTATCAACCCTTATGTTGCAATATGCGTCAAAAAGCGTTACTGTTTTCATGAAGAATTTTTGCGAGGCTATGCAAAATGAGGTCATGTCGACAAGATAATGAGATAGCAGCGGTCAGCGAATAAACAGCTCTGCGAAAATTGTCAAGTTAAAATCGAAAGAAAACCTCTTTAGGAAGAGTTTATTTAGTATGTCAGCTATTCTCTTTGCAAATGGCATCTGATAGCTTGAACACGCTACGCAATCGTGCAAGGCCCCATGCTCGAAGTCGTACTAACATTTCCGAATGTGTCAAACCTATTTTTCAATCTTACAGTATCGCGCGCGTGCGTAAGCTAATGCTCAGCTCTATAGCCTGATCTTGTGGCTAGTTGAGGCTGTCAACATTCTGAAAGCGTTTACCGTTTTCTATTCATGCATAGATGGGTGCATCAAGCATTGTATTTTAAAAATGGACCTGTTTTTCGTCTTTTCTCTTGCTTCGATTTTGTCATTTCAATCGGCGCGTGCTTTTTTTCATTTTTTGCTTCGGTATATTCAGTTCAATATGCACTGTGCATATCTCAATCGCATGTGCGCGATATTGTTTACGTTAAACGTATTCATTCTGCTTATATAACGTGTAACTTCCTAACTCGGATGTCTTTTTCTTGAAACGCTCCCCTGTAATTAAGACGCTTTAGACGTGTTCTGCAACGAAGGATAGTTTTGAAAACTGCAAACCCTTTCATATTTACCCTCTCGGACTTTGCATCTTGCAACACGCGTATGGATAGTAAGCACTTCACTGCCATTGTTTTAAAAAATAAAAATTTCTGGTAGCATAACATTATATAAAACATATGTAAAGTATAACTACAGTATTTAACTTCTAGGCTTATCACAATAAAAAAAAACATTACCAGTGAGTTCGCAAGTCGTATTCACTTGGAGCTAGTATTAAGGATTATACTTATTTTCAGATACTTATTCTCAGCTTATGCGACGGGATGCAATTGTCATTTGTGCTATTTTCGACTGTGAATCATAAGGTTCGGTTTAAATTATTGAAAGGGCCGGTGGCTGGAAAGTTCAAATGTTTACCGCATGCTTAGTAGCGTTGCACTAATATTCTCATATGACGCATATGCCTCGTATCTAACTATTTCGTATGAACACATATATAACTCATATGTGTTCTCGTATGATCATACGAGATTATTGGGATTATTGCATACGTTCCGTACGATTGATCATGACTCATATTAGATATTTTGATAGGGATATCCCAAACTAAAGGTTATAGTCTCGAATTTTTTTCAAAGTTGATGTTCCTTGCGTAGTCACCAACTTTCAACTTCTATTGGTAAGTGGTGATGTGAACATGCGTTGAATGAGTGACCATGTGGATCAACGAAAGTTTTACTAATGAGTCAATATTGCGTTTTCACTTGCTGTACTAACATTATCTGCTATATAAATAAATATATATATATATATATATATATATATATATATATATATATATATATATATATATATATATATATATATATATATATATATATATATATATATATATATATATATATATATATAATGTGCGCATATATCTTTAGCCTAGTATACTACACATCGCGCAAACAATTTCTCAAAATTATGTTAACGACTGAAGAACATCTGGTGGTACATGAAAGAACACACTTTAGCGAATACATTTGCGTGAACATGTTTATATGAAGGCTTGTTTTTTCAGTGCTAAATTGTAAAGCTTGAACAAAAAAAAAGTCAGTGCCTAAACAACAAGAAAAAAGAATTGTGTTTAGCAGTGTAGTATACACCACGAACGTAGTATTGCGCTCTAGCAGAATCTAGGAGTATTTTATGCCCTCCTTCCGCTAGACAGAAAAGTAGCACCTATATAAAATTCACCATCAAAGTTCTTAAATGCTTTACTGTCCAACGAACAGTAAAAGCTGGTGTGAAGTGAAATGTTTGCGATTGCTATATTCTCGCTTTGTCTGGAAGCGTAACTCCAAACAAATGTCGCAGCCTGTATCTGGCAGTGCAACCCATACAGCCACCAGCTATAGACTATAAGCCCTAAGCACTAATCGAGTGGAACCATCTTTTTTTGTGGAACGGACTTTCCGCTAACTTTTGCTGTTGGATGTATGCTTGTGTTGTAATTGTCGCCTGTAAAGAATGGATAGCACAAGCAAAGCACCGTGCAATGTGCAGATACGGGGCCGTGGCGGCTTTAGTGCGTTCAGCGACCCCGACCTCCCTGTACACGCCGCACGCAGGAATGTTGCACTACATGCCCGAATACCCGAAGATACCCGCCGCGGCAGTCACAGTCGAGGACGCTGACATGTTGTGGAGGCTCGCGAAACGTGGTGAGTTTCAGTAGAAAAAAAGTGCTCGAATTCTGAAGCTGTATGTGGTCCTCACGTGATGCCACAGGGGTAATTGAGAGTGATTGAACAACCTACAAAAAATACCGCATTAAATTGTGTTCAATAATTTTATAATTACAGACCCGAACAAGCATTTATTTGTCATTTCACCGTTGCTTCTCAATGTCAGTCATTTGAAGTATAAACTAATGAGTGTTTTTATGGCACTAGTGGACAGTGCCTCGCTGCCCAAACAGGGAATGCTGTGGCAGCCATTCAGCCGCAAGTTATGTTCCGCAAGATTGCGATCGAAACGACCACCTAGCCGACTAACAATAGCGGCTGGCATCAATGTTAGAAATATTTTAGAGCGACAGCTCCACTCCACCGCGTACAAACCCAGAAACCACCTCGTTTCGTGAATGTGACTTTCAAGCTCAACCAAGGTCAACGCCGGCGAAACTTCGAGATATTTTTTAGACGCAGCCATCGCCATAGGCACTAAACCCGGTTAAATCGCTTTCAACCACGCTTTTTTTGTGTGTGTATGTGCATGAGAGCCTAAGCTTTGTTCTATCCATACGGGGTGTTTTGAAAAAGGCAGAACGGAATGGACGACGTATACATCAACGGGTCGAGTGCCTTCAAAGCAAAAATAGGGGCAACATGACCAGCGACCTTTATTCTCATATATCTGCAGGGTCCAATGTGGTCGTCCATTTGGAGATGAGCAACAACCACACGCAAGGCGTCTCCAGAAACATTGTCGCCGACATCACCGGCTCAGTCTTCCCGGAGCAGGTATCTATGGTGCCCCCCAAGCTTTTTTTACTTTTGAGTAGCGCCTGTGTGATACGTATTGCGAAGACCACACGTGAGTCACATTTTCATGATATTTTTATTTTTACTGTATACTCTTCACGCATACACGCCCCTAATCTGCATGCATCATCATCTTCTCCTGCGTGGATTCGCCGTCGTAACAGCCTGAGCTCGGCTGCAAGGAAGCGGCTCTCTACACGTGAAGCAAACGTGTTTTTTTTTTGTTTTTTGCAGTAGAGCTATTATGTTTGAGGTTTAGCATGCGTAGAAGATAGAAAGCCGTCATCATCATGAAACACCGCGCGCTTTTTTGTTCTCTTCGTTTTTTTCCTCTAAGTAAAAAAAGAAAGAAAGGAAGAAAGAAAGAGAGACAAATAGAAAAACAGAAAGAGAGAGAAAGAGAGAAAGACTTCTAGCTGAGGCATCATTCGAATGAAGGCGAGAGTTTAACCCGGTGGTTCTCAAACGTCGACGTTTAGAGGTTCTGGGTGGATCCAGCTAAAGTGATGGCGGACCCTTTGATGTGATGAACCAGGGGAACCGGTGAGAAGGGAGGGGAATATGAATAACGTGACCGCCGAGTAGGTGGCATGAAATGGTGCCATTTATTTTTGTGCTTATTGCCCGTGACAGGATCTCGAACTGAGAATGGGTAAAAACTCCCAATAACGTTTGCCCATGCAGTGGCCCAGTTGAGAACCACTGTTCTAGCCATTCGGTTATCCAGGCACGCTAGCAGATCACAGCATAGCTATTTATAGTATAGTATAGCGAGATTTTGAAAGCGAGGTGAAAGTGTGAGAGCCTAGCCAAGTCAGGATCAGCTAGGTGCTCACTCTGCTATACACATCATTGCGCGACACAGTGCAAGCGGCGTTTATATGCTTAAAATATACACGAAATCTTAGACCACGTTCAGTAGAGTCATTTTTAACTGATGTGTCTGCCTAGTATAATGCTTGGTAACCTAAAATCATAATTTTGGACTCTGGCTTTGACCGCGATCGACAGCTGGGATAAAACGGCCACTGAGCTGTGCTGACAGATAATGTACACTAAGCTCCCGAGATGAAACAAGTTTCCAAGGTAGGGAGAACTTCTCTTTTTTTCCTCGCCTATGTTCCTGGAGCGCCCCCTACAAGGTTCAAAACTTTCATCAAAAGGCGAATGTTTGGGTTCAATTGCTGTGTTCAATAGATGTAAATGAATCAATATAGCACGAAATGAGTCGTAGAATAAACGATTACCTTCATAAACATAAACGGTACAACACCAGAGCAAGCAGGATGTGTGGTTCTCAACTGGCAACGTTGTGCAGTTCTATATTTTACACCACTAGCTATGGCGTCTTGCGTCGTTCATTCTAGTTCATCCAGTTCTCCGAATGTGTTTTTTTTTTGTGCTGAGACACAGTGAACGCGCTTTTTGCTGGATCTTGTCAGTGACCACAGGGCTTGACGTTGTGACGAGTGATTACAGCTGGCTTGTGCACACGCAAGAAAAAAACTACGGCCGGACTGGTATACAAACGCTTGACTAGCTGTGATGGTGGTTTATTTTAATGAGCCCATTTGGACAATCGTGATGCCAGGTGATTTTGATGCGGTGCTCGGAACTTCCGGAAAAGTGAGAGTTCTACTGGTGAGGTGTCTCGAAGCAGCGCGTTTCGGCTCATGCGTGAACTGGTCAAGCGTAAAATGTTTCTGAAAGTGCGTTGATTACACCCTCCAGCTTGTGCATACGTGCATACGCACAGTACCAACTGGCATGCACAAGAGGCGCACTTAGACGCGCGTCTGGCGTTGCAATAAAAACCGACAAGTAAACTTACTTCGCAGATTCGCGTCAACGTACGTTGACGGAGTTGCACAAAAGCGTTCGCGCGAAATGTTTCATAGCTATACTTTACGGCGTGCTTCATTTCGGATAGCGCAAGGTAAGCTGAAGTGAGCGAAATCGTTTTCTGTTGTCTTACCGCAACGCTGCATTGTTGAATAAAGCGGATATTGCAATAAACGAGCACCGCGAAACAATCTTGATCGACTTGCAGCACACTGAAACGCTCCTCTTCTTCAGTTTATGTCCAGGCTACGATTTCGTCTTTGGTCACGGCAATAATCCGGCTGGAGCCATATGCGCACGCGTATTCGTTTTGAACCTTTCTGCACAATAATAAATATGTTCTTAATACCACCAGCCATTTGCAAGATGACGTGCAAGATATTCACCAATTACAGACGCGGATTGCAGAGAAAAAGAGGAGTAATCGAGAAAGTGAGGAGGGCGGCTCGAGAACAATGAGTGACGCTACTTTGGAAACTTGTTTCATCTAGGGACCTTAACGTACACTAGGGTTCTTCGATGCGCACGCCCCCTTGGAGGATGGAACCTCTTTGAAGCGGTGAGTGCCGCCTTCCGATCGGCGGCCGCCATTCGGCTACCCCCGTCTCGTCCCGGCTGGTTGAGTGACACACGTGCGCGGCGTTTTCTCGGGCGAAATTCCCGGGCGTTGCGTGCCACCGGGCACAAAGCACTCGCGAAATGGCTACAGGATGTTCATATTCCCGAAAGATCCGAAAAAGCGACTCTTGTGGCTTGTGAACATCAAGCGCGAGAAGTGGCCCCCCACGGACCGTTCGTGTTTGTGCAGCGTAATTTATGCCATTTCAGCATTCCGAGAGTTATAACTTAAAGCGCTGTCACACGGCCACTTTCAATCGTGATAAAACTTGATGTGATTGACTCTTATACCAGCTGCAGAACGGCGCCAATCACTGTTGAGAAATTTGATTCCGATTGGGCTCAAGGCGGTCACTAGTTCATCGGGTGCAATACGCATTCATTTGCATGCTGTGTACATGCGTATATAACTCGTTCATTTCGGATCGCACAAAATGCGTTGTTCTCAATCGCTTCTGGTACGCAAGCTGCGATTGCGCGAAGATGTGCGCCTATGGTGTGAGCTTAATTTTGTTGCTGCCGGCACCTTCTACTATTTCTTATAGGGGCAAAGCCCTTTACGCCATGATTCGTATGTCGCGCGTCGTCGTAGTCGTAATAGCCAGTTGCATTGCATTGCATGTCAATTAAAACCGTGTCACAGCATATCCGCGTAGTGAATGATGATGAGTGTAGCGAATCGTCGGTCATTCTGTCCGTGCTTACGTGCGTCTGTCCTTCCGTCCGTCCGTTCGTCCGTCCCTGCGTTAGTTCATGCGTCCGTCCATCTGTTTTTAAGCACGATAGTCTTTCTTGGGGACCTTCGACGCAAAACTTTTGATCTGTCTGTACATTTGTCTGTTTGTCCACCCCTAACGGTACCCTAAACGGCAGCAAAGTTACCAAATGATACTCCAAACGGCCAACCCCATCAGCAGCGCCAACCAATCTTGCTCAAGGTTCAGCGTTCATACTTGTGCGATTGTCAATTAAAAAGCAATTATAGCGCACATCTGAGGCACTATAATAACATGACAATATTATGTATGTGTATTTTATTACTGGAAAAAGCATACATAAGTAATTTTAAGGGTCGTAGCCTTTATAAAGCTGCGCTGGCCATGCAACGCTTGCACGAAACGGCAAGTGTTTCCAACGCTTTGCTAAGACGACACGACACGGTGGTGGCACCTACCCGTCGCCTTGCCTTCTACACCTTATCCCCTCAGAAACGGGCGCGCACGGCGCGCGCCCCATTTTGCAGGATAACTGCCAGATAGCGCTCTTGTCCCACGTGTGACATGACTTGATTCGCTCGTTCGCCTCCGCTGCACGCTCGAGGCACTCTAACGCAGCGCCTCCAGAATACCATACAGCAATTTTCTTGCGCAGAATATCAAATAAATGTTTTGTTCACTCTCTCCAGACGCAAGACTATCGGCTTTCGACGACATTTGCACTGTAACATGCAGATACAGGGCCAATTTTTTTTTCGCTACGCATACATAGCGCGAAATGACCATTGGCCGGCTCGGCGCTTACTTTAGATCAAAGAAGTGCCCCCCCCTCCCTCAAAAGATTCTGCATACAACCCTGCGTACGATGGTGTAAGTGGCGGTGTTCTCGCATTATTTTTATTTATTTATACATACTGCAGGTCACATTTAGGCCCAAACAGGAGTGGTGATATAAGTACATGTGGATTAGCGGCATAAATGGACACATGGTCTATAAAAGAAGGAAGTAAAAAATACAAAAAGTGTTCAACATACAGCGTTGCTTTGCGTATAGGCATAAGTTCGAAAGGATATAAAGTAAATTATACACCATTGGACGGCAAACCTTTGCACACCAAAGTTTGCATTATCAATAATATTAAGAAAGGAGTCTGCTGAGGGAACGGAAACCACATTTTCAGGTAATTGATTACAACTGTCGATGGCAGCTGAAAATAATGAATACTTGTGCGAGTTTATGTGGCTTATAGATTGTCTCAACATTTTGCTGTGACCCGTTCCAAAGGAATGTCTCGTCAGAAAATGTATCTAGAGTGATTTATTCTGAAGTGGCCATGATAGAGATGATAAAGAAACTTTAACCTCTATATTAGTGTATGATGACCCAGCGTCTGTAGGTTAGCTTTCTGAAATAAAAAGCTAACACTTCTCCTTCTTTATTAATCAGAAAAGGCAAACTAAACCACAAGTATTTGTATTCCTTCCAGTTTATCAATTAGATATTTCTGGTGTGAGCTCCAAATCAAATCTACGTACTCCAGGCTATGTTTCACTAAATATTTATACGCTTTGAGTTTGACGGATGTTGGTGCTCCACTCAGTTTTTTTTTATTTTAGCATTGTCAGTTTATCATGAGCTTTCCGAAAAATGTCATTAACATGGGGTCCCTACTTAGAGTACTCATCACAATTACCCTCAGATATTTTGTGTGAAGTGCAAGATAATGGTGTATTGTCTAGTGGGTACTCGAATTCAAGAGGACATTTTTTATTAGCAAACGACTATTTTGTTTTCGTAGTGTTTAGCCTCATACCCCATACCTTGCACCAAGCCCTAATAGAACCTAAAGAGTCATTTAGCGTAAGTTTATCTGCGTGGCTGTGTATTGTCTTGTATATGACGCAGTCGTCCACAAACAAATGTATCTGTACATCCGGGCGAACACATTCTTGTATATCATTTATATAAATTATAAATAACATGGGTGCTAATACAGACTTTTGTGGTACTCAAGCAAACACATTCAGTTTATCTGACGAACAGGAATTCACAGTGACACTTTGTGTTCTATTCGTAAGATAACATAAAAATCCAAGACACAGTGACTCTGTCAATAATATATGCAAAAAAATTGGTAATGAGGTCAACATGAGGAACGGCATCAAATGCCTTAAGTAAATCCAAAATAATAGCATCGGTTTGACCTCCTATATTAGGTTCGTTAGAAATTTTATGCGTTAATTCTGCTAATTACGTTATGGTTGACAATCCAGACCTGAAATCACGTTGGTTATGGCACAAAAGGTCGTTATTATCTAGGTGGGTAACAATGGCTTTACCTGTAGGCCCATGTGCTCAGATGTGGGTGCACGTTAAAGAACCCCAGGTTTTCAAAACTTCCGGAGCCCTTCACTGCGGCGTCTCTCATAATCATATGGTGGTTTTGGGACGTTAAACACCACATATCAATCATCATCAACAATGGATTTATAAATATTGTGTTCCAAAACCTTGCAACACGTGCTCGTGAGGCATACCGGTCTGTAATTATTCAGATCTGATATGCAACCGGATTTGTGAATTGGCACAACATTTGCACAACGCCACTCATCACGAATAGATGACGTCTTCAAAGATACAGTGCAAAGTTTGTGCAGATACCTTGATACCCAACCCATGTATCTCTGCGGGAAAAAAACACGTTTGTGATATGGTCTGGACCAGAACACTTTTTCGTGTCAAACTTTCGCAAGAGACTTAAGATGCCGTCTTCACTTATCATAATTTTCTTCATCGGCACCTTGACGTCTTGTGATGGAAATGGGGGAAAAGAGGCGGTTCTCAAGAATACTGATTGAAAGAACACATTTGTTTTAATTTTTTGTTAATCGCCAAATTCATACGTACGTGCACTACCGTACATTCAGCTTTCAGTGTTCTTATGGTCTTTCATATTTCTATGATGCAGCCCGACTGACGCCTGTGAATTTCTGGTAGACTATACAGCGAAAAAAAAGTCAAACTTTTGTTGCAGCCACACCTTGCAACAAAACAGTTGCTGTCTGCCACAATATATTGTTAATAGAATCTTCTTGTTAACCGTGAAATAATATAGCACTCGATCACCCTGTTATCTAAATAAAACCCAAGAAGTATATGAAGATAGCGTACTCGGCGATGAAATCAGCAAAGGTTCGTACGTGTTAGTATACTGCTCCGCATAACGTACTCTGAAGAGCATCATGACTTATCCCACTCAAACTGCAGCCATCCAACAATTATTCGGCAACATTAAAAATAGCTCGTCAATCTAATCTGGGCTTTCTTCTCATTTTTCAAGTCCTTGAAGGTTTACTGGAAGTTAAGGATAAATTACCCGAAATTCATTCTCTCAAATATTTGTGATGAAGTTTTGAGGTGGCAATAGAATACGGAGCTATGGGTCAGTCACACTTTTGAATTTCAAGTGAAAACAAGATCGCATTTCGCGGGATTGAATCGCGGCTGCGGCGGCTGCATTTCCGATGGAGGCGGAAATGTTGTAGGCCCGTGTGCTCAGATTTGGGTGCACGTTAAAGAACCCCAGGTGGTCGAAATTCCCGGAGCCCTCCACTACGGCGTCTCTCATAATCATATGGTGGTTTTGGGACGTTAAACCCCACATATCAATCAATCAACAAGATTGCATTAACTGTAATAAGAAATAAAGATGTTCTGGGACATTAGCCGGAAAAATGAAAAAAAAAGATTAATTTAACGTGTTATCCTGGAAAACGCATTATGAACCATCGTACCAATGAGATTTCCCCGTGCATGTCTTTGCCGAGTCATTAAGCGCTTCAAGGATTACACGCGTATCAAGGATTACACATCGTTGTTGGCACAGCACTATATACTTAAAAGGGCGCACAACAGTATTAAGACGCTTAGTCTTTGTTCACAGCTCAGGCATATATTGTACCTAATGACGTCTGTTTTCGGTAAGATTACTTTTTTTTTCTTCAACCTCTATAGGGTTACGGGACTAGTAAAAAGGAAGAACTACCGCCAGGCACACGTCACCTGTGGTATAAGCCAACTGCTACAGAGTCGTAAATTATGTGACAAATACATGATCGAACGCACCATGTAAGTAGGAACGTTTTATTTTGCAGTGTATGCGACCCAAGAAAGTGCAGTTCTATCGCAAAATTTAAGCTAAGTTATGGACTTTTACGGTTACTTCGGGGCACAGCTGAAATTGCCCGTCGTTGTACACCAGTGTTAGCCCGTATACAGCTAGGCTTCTTGTACTCGCGCAGTACGTGATCGTGGGTGCGCACACGGACAGCTGGGACGTGGGCCAAGGCGTCGTGGATGACGCGGGAGGTGTCTTCATCGGCCTGGCGGTGATGGCGCAGCTGCGACGCATGCGGCTAAGACCCCGGCGTACGCTACGCCTGGTGCTGTGGACCGCGGAGGAGAACGGATTGCACGGAGCCGTTGAATTCGTGCGTCGGCACCGGGACGAGATGGACGCCGTGTCGCTGGCCCTCGAGTCGGACATGGGCACGTTCGCACCTGTCGGGATCACCATGAGCGGCGGTGACAACACGACCGCTTGCATCCTGCGCCGATTGTTGACTCTGACAGCACCTATTGGTGCAACGCGGCTCGAATCCCCCAACGGCCGTGGCTCAGACGTCACCAAGCTGCAAGAAGTTGGAGTGCCGACTTCCGTGCTGCTGACACGCAACGAACGCTACTTCCACTACCACCACACGCGCGCCGACACCATGAGCGCCGTGAGCAGTCGCGACCTGGACCTGTGCGCGGCCTTTTGGACGGCCGTGGCTTACGTGGTGGCCGACTTGAGAGACATGCTGCCCCGTGGTTGACCAGCTGCCTCACGCACACCCTCGTGTACGAGGGAGATGGTACGTGCGCTGTGCCCCTTAACCTTATTTGCTATTTGGAAATGCTTTGCGAAGATGAACGCGACAGCGATGTACAGCTAGCAGACACCAGCTCCTGCCGGTCGCACAAAGTGTTACGAGATAGCTGTGCGGCCATCGCTGGCACTCGGTGGTTGCATCTTGTGCGTTTCTGTCCCCTCTACTCTAAATCACCGAATTTTCCTTGAAGGGTTGAATGTGTGAATGTGTGGAAATAAAGAGCATGTGTCAAAGTGTAGACGCCTCTTTGCTCGTGTGAGATACAGCTAAACCTCGCCTCAACAAAGCGATGGCCACGCTCGAATTATATTGTTAATTCGAGAAATTCATAAAATTGTGAAATGCATTTTTCGGTGTTCGGAATTCTAACACTGTAACGTATAGCGACACTGAAGAGCTACCGCAGCATCGTGTTTACCAATAAACCACTGCCTGCACGTGTAAATTCACGAGGGTGGTCCAGGCACGAAGCTTCTTACATCCAGGATATCAATTTTGTGGCCATCATGAATGACGTCAAGCTGTGACAGCTGCCGTCATATACGATGACAAGAGGAACAACAGCACTGAATGGCTATCAGATGAACAGTCAAGAAAGGTGCAACCAGATTATCAGTGCAATTTGTCACATAAACCACGAAATAAGGAAGCGTATTAGAGGGCTGATAAAGCACCATTGCCCCTAGCACAATTTGGTATGTTCGAACGCTACGGAATGTTGAGGCTGTTGAGTTCGTGCATGGGTGCGGCAGCTAGCTTCATCAAAATAAATATATAGGGCCAAAACGCGCTTTAACTCGATAGCGCCTAAGCGCACGTACCCGTTGGAGCGCGTCACCGCGTGGCTTTTTGACGCGGCACTGCACCCTCTCTCTATGGAGAGAGAGGAGGTGACGTTATGCGAACCTGCGCTCTCTCTCTCTCTCTCTCTCCAATAGGCAGAGGGAGCGGCGCCGCGTCAAAAAGCAATGCGCCGACGCGCTGCGACTGGTACGTGTGGTCAGGCCTTAAGATCGAAGAAAACGCGTCTGCTTCAAAATAGTAAATCACCAGTTTTACATTGATTTATTTCGGGAAAACCTTCGTTATATAGCATTTACAGCCAAGTGAGCTTCGTTATATCGGCTTCCATATTCGCAGCGCGAAATACCCCAAAAGAAAGACACACTTCAGACACACATGGAGCTCGTCTTATGTGCCTCTCTTCCGTGGTGTCGTTACGTGCTGTAAATATGGAAGCTAAAAACTAACTCGTCCAACATATTGCATCGTTAAATAGGGTTAACGAAAACATTGAACTACATTGTTAACTGCCAGGGAATGGAAGTTTTTTTGTTAAATTGAGAGTGCCGCTAAGTATGGTTTTGTTAGATCGAGTGCGATTTATACGCGATTTGGGATATAAGCATCAAAGCAAAAGAAAGTGCACGTTTAAAACTTGTTATTTTGAGGGAAATGATCTATTGGACGTGTGATGTATGTACCGAACGTTTGAAGCAAGTGAATGACGATGTGCTGTCCGTGGTGTCCATTAGACGATGTGCTTCATGTATGCATGCCATACGAGTATGACATTACTAACGTAACAAAGCGGTAAGGTGGTGTGACGCAGCGGGCCACCACTCTAAGAGTCGAACACCGGCGACCTACTTCGCCCTAACTTTCCGCGAGAAATAAGTTCATCGAAATGTTGTTGCGCATCTTTACTGGATGTCTATCCCCCTGATCATCCCCGTTCCTTTTCTGTTTCTGACAACATCTTTGGTCACTGACCCCTCGAGTCATTATTCTGAGGCTAACGAGGGGTAACTCTTTCAGCCCGTGTCACTGCAGTAAAGCGGCGAATGGCAGGCGGTTGAACGAAATTTTGCTGCTACACAGTCAGGTGACGTATTTCTAGCAGGCACTTTAGTCGAGGCATGGCGGGATCGCATATAGGCTGTCTCAATGAGATGGTGGACTTGGCCATGCCGGGAAGATTCATGAATAGAACTGTGATGATTCATCTGGTGAAAAATCAGCTCATAAATACCTTCACTACTTAGCCACTTTGCATGAAAGAAACAAGGACGAAGTAAGGAGCGCACACGGATGAGCGCAATCTAACGAGTGATTTATTTTTGAAAATACACCTGCTCAAGTAGTTAACATGATCTGCGCAATCTCGTCACAAATTGCAGCAACACGACACTAAGTGAAGACTTGTTGAGCCTGTAAGGTCGCCCGAGCACGCATTTGGTGATACATTGTTAGGAATGCGGGTGCACGCCTCTGCCTAGCAGCGATAGTATTTTGTTCAAAAACCGGATTCAAACAGCGAGAAAAATTGGGGAAGCCCATTGGATTGAAAACTAAAGAAAAGTGCATCAGTTACCCTTCTATTGTTTCTTTAGGCAAACAAATTGCACTCCCGTCATCATACCTTTAATGACTAATTTCTCAAGTTTTTTTTTTTTTTTTGATAGATGTGCATTTGTCGTATAGTCTGCTTATGTGGTCACGCTAATTCACCCATTGCAATCGCACGTGATCGTTACATGCATGAGTGATGTGTTTTTTTATGAGATCGCGCAGATCATGTTGGCTAAAAGTGGTTAAAGGATGGATTCGTTCCAACTAGGCATGCTAGCAGTTTTGCTTCAATTCCTGAATACCTTTCAGTACAGGTGTAACCAGGAGGAGCGCTGGGAAGAGGTCACAAATGTCTGCCCCGTACGTTTGCTTTGTCTGACCTGTCCCGTCACGGTTATTTTAATAAAGTACCCACAAGGAGTCAGTATGCCTTAAGAAAAAATATACCCATTTTGATTGATTGACATGTGGGGTTTAACGTCCCAAAACCACTATATGATTATGAGAGACGCCGTAGTGGAAGGCTCCGGAAATTTAGACCACCTGGGGTTCTTTAACGTGCACCCAAATCTGAGCACACGGGCCTACAACATTTCCGCCTCCATCGGAAATGCAGCCGCCGCAGCCGGGATTCGAACCCACGCCCTGCGGGTCAGCAGCCGAGTACCTTAGCCACTAGACCACCGCGGCGGGGCAAATATACCCATTTTGACTTTGCTGCTAGAGTTGATTTTGAGAGGCATAACTTTATCAGATATAACTACAAATAGGTAAATACTTTAATCAAAATGTGTAACTCCGCGTAACTTCGTCATAACATGTTAAATATGTGGTAACTGGTTTTCCATGAAACTTTCACAGGTTTATTACCTTTTTCGGGGCACTCAATTTTATGATGTACGGGGAATGAAAATGTGGACAGAGCACGTTTTTTTTTTTCTTACGATAATGGCAGCCGAAGTCCCCCAATGTTGCATTCCAAGAACTTCTCACTTCCTACCCTTAGCCCCGGAAAGCAAGCGACCAGAGGCAGGCTACTGTGAGAAGCACGCCATCGCTTGATTTTAACTTCCTATTCATCTATTGATAATCATGCCGTTCATTAGACTCGACCAACGGGGACGGTGGGGGAAGGGCACTGCAATAAAACTTGCCCTCCCCCCCCCCATCCCCATGGGGAAATCTACGCGCGCCTATGGCTTTCAGAGAGGGAATGTGTAATAGCGAATGTTTCTTTTTTGTTGGTATTAGGTCGTATAGGCAAAAATACATTTCGTAGTTTGTAAGGTAAAGTTTGTTATGCTATAAATGGTGTCTATGTTATGTTATTTATTTATTTATTTATTGTACCCTCAGGGCCTACAGCATTATAGAGGGGAGTGGGTTTAGAAGACAAAAAATACAATTGAAACGTGAAAAACAAATCACATTCAGTACATGCATACAACACTCGAGAACAACGTGTAAATGACAACGCTTACACAATATCTAAAAAAACAGGAAGCACCGCGACGAATCAAACAAGGAATCAAAAAATCAAACAAGGAAGCACCGCGACAATAAAATACCGTAATGACGATCTAACACACAAAGAAAATACTAAAAAAATTACAACATGGCACAATGTATCTGCCATACACAAATGAACGGTAACCGAACAGCAGCAAACACAACCAGGGAAAAAATAAAAAATAAATAAAAAATGCGTTGAGCACATCAATGCATAAAATTTTCGAGTGCCGCCCGAAAGCGTTCATGATTAGTAATCGTGACTAGTGACGCAGGCAGGTTGTTCCAATCATGGCATGTTTTTGGTAAAAAAGAATGGGAGTATGTTACGGTGTTTTGGCGCGGAATATGAACCTTGTAATGATGGTCGAGGCGTTCAGATAGGAAAAAAGGAGGGTTTAGCCAACGTGATTTAAGTATGGGGTTATGGTGATACGCTTTATGCAGCACACAAAGGCGAGCAAGTTTCCGGCGAGTAGCAAGAGTAGCAAGGTCAAGACTGGATTTCGTGTTAGTAACACTGGAAATACGGTGATAGTTAGAAAGTATGAACCTCGCGGAGCGGTTTTGCACAGCTTCAATTTTATTAGATAGTGTTACATAGCCAGGGTCCCAAACTGAGGAAGCATATTCAAGCCTAGGGCGCACATAGGTTATATATAGCTGCTTTTTTAAGGAAGACGGGGACAGCGAGAAATTTCTTTTCAAGTAGCCTAGCATGCGGTTTGCATTAGATGTTACATATTCAATTTGACGCGCCCAGGATAGGTTATTGGTTATGGGCACACCGAGATATTTGTAAGATTCAACTGACTCTAGTAAGGTATCTTTAAGAAAGTAATCAGGGCTGGGTAGTTTGTTACGCGAAATTCTCATTGATTTACATTTAGAAACGTTAAGATCCATGTGCCAGAGGTTACACCAGGAAATAATGTTGTTAAGGTCGGATTGTAGACAGGCAATATCAGTATCGTTAGTAATTTTACGGTAAAGCACACAGTCATCAGCAAAAAGGCAAACTGGAGAACAAATGTTAGAAGGCAGGTCGTTAATGTATATTAGAAACAGTAAAGGCCCCAGCACAGAACCCTGAGGTACTCCTGAATGTACCGCCACCTCGGGAGAGTCAGTTTCGTTAATGAATACAAACTGCGTGCGGTTAGCAAGAAAGATTCGGATAAACTGTAGTACTCACAAGGTCATGTGATTAATCACGGAACCGTGACCACCTTTTGACAGAAATATTAGTTTCGGCCAAAGGTCCGCAGGCAGTGTGTTTTATTTCTTTGTTTTCACACACGTCCGCAATTTGTGAAGACGGCTTAGCGACTGTGTTCAGGGAGAAAAGACAACAATTACACGGCAGCGGTACTGCAC